GCTGGCTAGGCTGCAGGGAAAAAGGAAGAATTTCATATTATTGGAAGGAATGTAAACTAGTACAACTACTATGGAAAATCAGTATGGAGATTCCTCAAAAAACTCTAGGTAGCTTTCCAAAAGAGTTACAGGTATCGTATTAAGGTGATATGTGCATAGCCATGTTTATAGCTATAAACATATAGTAATATATGTTTGTAATAACTAAATGTTGGGAAAAACCTATATACCCATTAACAGATGAATGGATAAAGAAAATGTATTTATAGGGCCGGGGCAGTTCAAGCACTTGCTTGGTAAGCACAAGGTCATGAGTTCGGAAAAAAAAAATGTATTTATACACAATAAAATACCACTCTGCTATAAAGAAAGATAAACTTTAGGCAGTCATATGTAAATGAACGTTGAAACAATAATATGAAATGAAATAAATCAGACACACAAGCTTAAATATTGCATTGTTTATCTTATATGAAAAACCCATCGAATATAAATAAAAAGCAAAATGAAGAACACATAATGGGAACTAGGGAGGGTTTTTGTTTTGTTTACTTTTTTTTTGTATTGGGAATCAAATGCAAGACCTTACACTTGCCTGGTGCCGCTGAACTATATCTCCGGCCTGGGAGATCTTTTCCAAGTGGATTGCAAGGGAAAAGATGGAGGGAAGAGAAGAGGGATGGGCAAAAAAGACTCCAAAAAATAGAGCTTTTGCAAATACGAAGATGAACAAAATTTGGAAGAAGCTGGAATAGGAAGGATAGGGGACCAAAAAGAAAGAATTAAGATGACTCATGTTCATGTCCCAACTTGCCATGATAAATGTATTCATTATTGTAAATATGTACTAATGGAAAAGAAATTGAGGAAATAATCTTGTACGGACGCACATATCTGTGATTGAGTCTTCCAGTGACTTCCTAGCGCTGCTTAACAGAGGGCCATGTTTCCAATTTGTAAATACAGTGCGTGACTGTTTTAGATTCCAATTTGAAAGTAATATATGTTTATTTCAGACATTGTACAGAATAAAGACCATTTTAAATGCTCAGAAAATAGTATTTTCAGAAAAATTCTCAAAACTAGAATTAGACATAGGTTATTTAATTCATCAAATGTTCTCATACTGTCTCATGCACCCTACTCCTGAAGTCATAATCCACAGCCACACTGAACGGCAACATTAACGCATTTGTCTGCACAGTTCCTAGGGGGAGGAGTAGGTTTGGAAGACACCATGGTTCTTGTGTTAACTTTCTGTCACTGTAACAAAATATCTAAATACCTAACTGGAAGGAGGAAGGATAATTTTGGCTAGGCTTTCAGTGGTTCCAGTGCATGGTTGGCTGGCCCAAATGTAAAGACGTCATGAAGAAAAGAGCTGCTTAACTCATGGCACCCAACAAGCAGAGAGGAGGGGAGGAGCCAAAGGGAAAATGAAAGGGTTTTCCATACGACAAAAGAGGGGATATAAAATAAAAAAGAGCCTTGATTCCAAGGACATGGAGACAAGCCTACAGCCACAGACTGTCTAGCCACCTCTGACCGGAAGTTGGGTATGGGATCTACATATAACCTCTGGGGGGCGGGCACTTAGGGCGGGCATTGATGACGCGTGAGGAGCTGATTGGAGTTTTCTTCACCACAAACAGGAAGGGACGTTGCAATTAAGGCCAAGGATGAAGCCGGAAGTGGCAGGCATTTGCGCTTTGGCCTTCCGCCACATGAGACCACCGCTATAACCTTACAGTAATTTATACTAGGGCAAAATCTTTCAGAATGGGACCAGGGTGGCCATACAGCCTCCAAGGTGGCGCCCGTGCGCCCTATGTGGATACGCCTTGAACTGTGCTCTATGAATCTCAAAGGTGTCTCTCAAGCCAATGAAGCTGACAATGGAGATGGACCATCGCAGAATCAAGATTATCCATCACGGTGCTCAAATGCCCACAAGCAGCAGAGCTGCTTTATTTCCTTCAACCATTGATGATAACAACATTACATTAGAGATTTAAAACATTTTGTCCCATTAACTACTGATGATTTTGTCTTTTTATTAAAAGAGCTTAATTGTACCCCTACTAATGTAAAATAGAAAAAAAAAGTCATAGGAAAATATGAAATAATATTTGATAACCACGATGACCATACAAAAAATTATAGATCAGAGCACTTAAAATATTTTATATTTATCTGTACAGATCATGAAGAGGGTTGAGTCATCCTACAGAGAGATGTGGCCAGCATGTTTATTAGTTTCAATTCTGGTATTTGTTTGAATAAAAATAACACCGTTTTACTCTGGTACATATAACATCACCAATTTCTTTTTTTTTTTTTTTTGTTTTGAGACAGGGTCTCATTATATAATTCAGCCTGGGCTTGAATTCACTATGTAGTATGGGCTGGTCTCACACTCAGTGATTCGCCTCCCTTAGCCTCCCAAGTGCTGGGCTGACCGGCGCCGAACTTGGTGTATCACCAAATTTTAGGGTCTTAAAAGCAATTGCGAGTCTGGGACTTAGCTCAGTGGTGCAAGCCTAAGGTCCTGAGTTCAATTCCTATTACCCCCCCCAAAAAAAAAACACTTGAATCTCTATCTTTTGATAGATAGATTTAGTACATTTATATTTATTATAATTACTCATATATGTGAACTTTTTTTTACCATATTTCTTTTTGTTTCCTGTTTCTCCCTCTTTTCCTGCCTTTTACGTGATTTAAATATCCTTTCCTATGTCTTTTTTTTGATACCAGGGATTGAACTCATGACCTTCCACTCATCAGGAAGGTGCTTGTGCCACTGAGCTAAATCTCCGGCCCCCTTTTCCTATGTCTCACACCTATTTGTTTAGGAAGCTCCAGGTTGTATTTCCATTCTTTTAGTAATGCAGTTAGCTTGAAATTTTTAGGTATATATTATACATGTCCTAGCAGAATTAAAATTACTCTACTGTTGTCCTAAAAATGCCTGACTTTATCCTGTCTAATCCCACATAAGCTACCCACTGAATACTTGCAAACTCTGTTCCAGTTCATCTTAGTGTCTTTTTCAGAGCTGAAAACATGAGTATTTGACCTTGTGGTGTGGCTGGGCTACACTACATGAAAATACATACTATATTTAACATACATAACAAAACATCTTTTAATATATTTTTATTCTAACATGTAAAAATGACAGCAGCATAAACTGCATGAGGTAGGAGCAGCAGGTGGATTTAGCCCTGCACTGCGCCCTCCCCTACACAGCCTTAGTTGATGCTTACCAGGCTGTGCTCCGGCACCCCACAATCAAGTGCTAAAAATCACCACAAATTGGACCTCACGAGGCCACATTGCTAGTGGTCCAGGGCTGCGTGTAGCCCACAGTCTTTAGGTTGGACCCTCATAGAAATATCACTTTTTAAAAGGCATTTTTATAATGAACAATTGATTAAATGTACTTATTTTTAAAATGCTATTGACAAAATTACTGAGAGTCTCTTTTCTGAGACTGAGGTCTCTGATTTCCTGACGCACAGTAAAGGCTCAATAACTGAAAACCATCTTTCCTTACTCCCACAAAGGGACAGTTATTTGACTCCCTACAGCTAGATTGGAGTGGCCAGCATGCATGGACTCTTCTGGGTGGGATTCATTTCACGGACAGTCAGTCAACAAAACATTTCTTTATGTTAAGTTCCTGAATGCTGTACTTGACTGTGTGGCAAACTAAACAGTCTGGGATTAAATGTTCTGGTTTCTGAGCTGTGAAATGTAGAAACTGACCAGGCAGCGTAGGCAGACTGTCTGCCCTGCGGGAGAGGAACCAGCAGGGCCATGTCGCTGCCGGCTGGAACACAACTGTTACGGCAGCTGTTCAGCTGTTTGCCCAACTGGAAAGGACCCTGCCAAGTGGCAAATAGTTTTCATAACAACATTTGACTTTTGCTAAGAACGTTAAACGTGCATTTTATTTAGCTCCGACAGTATGCCAAAGAGGGCAGGTTTATTACTCAGCAGGCTCACAATCTAGACAGGATGGGATGCTCATTTCCATTTTTAATATTTATAAAAAGAATACATAGGCCCCCAGAAGACATCGCTGCACAAAATATTTCTACAGCTAAATTGTTTGTTGAAATAATACCACATTAACTTGGGAAAATGAAATATCTCCAAAAGGTAAGATGAAAATCTAGAAATGTCAAAGGGATAAGGGGTTAAATATTTTAAATCTAAGAATGACATTACTCTGACATGTCCAGGGCAGGCGCAGGTAGCAGAAATACATCATCTACTGAATACCCTAGGGGCAAGTCAGAGGTCCTGGGACTTTTGGGTTATGCTGTTAATGCACATTGTTAATGAGAGTGTTGACACCAAGTACTCAACAAACCATATGTTGGATCTGGCAGGCTGAGAACTGCGTGGGCTTGAATTAGAAATTAACAACTATTTTTATTTAATGGTAAAATCAGTATATCAAATGTAGCTAGTCCAAATGAAGAAAACACATTCCAATGAATAAATATAATTTTCTTCCAAACCTAAGCGCAATAGATTGTATTTATGTTAAACAGCTCGCCGTTCTCGATATATTTTCCCACACACCGGAAGTTCATACCCTCAGCAAAGCTAATGCAGAAATCCTTTTGCTGTACAGAGGTTTGCTCGAGTTGAACGCGATAGCACAAATCAGCAACAACTGTCATTCATGGCATTTGGTGTGGAACCTCCAGGTTTGTGACAATGCAGAAGGTGTGCGTTCTCACTTAATAAACTCATACAGTCAAAGTTGGAGCAGAGACATTTCTTAAGGTGAACTGGATTGAAAAAGGCATGCCCAGTGGAAATTCTAACCTACTTTTTCTGTACTGTTTATTAAATGGTCATTAAGTCATCAATGACAAAGAGTTCCTTCAAATTGTAAAAATTCAGATGATTTCTTGGAGTCTCATGTGCTGTGTAAGGGTCACCGTGGGAGTCAGTTATGAGACTGTGTTCTTATTTTTCAGGGGTACAGAAAGGCAGCCATGGATGACATTTACAGGGTCACATCCACAGAAAGGACCCAGCTGTTGGAGGAAGAGCTGGCTGCGCGCTTGAGTGAGCTGAAGTCTGAGATAGAAGAACCGGGGATCCTTCAGGGGACAGCTCCTCGAGTGTACAGGTTAATAGTGGCAGTGGGATGTCCGGCCTCAGGGTTTACCTCCCACCCCATAATGTCCACCAGCATCCCTCTTCATTTGACCTAGACAGCGATTCCAAGCTCAAAACAACGGTAGACAACAGCAGTTTCAACAGGCCTGCCCCTGCTTAGCTTCCAAAAGCTTCTTTTTTCTGCCCTGGATATTGTCCCATGAATTTATATTCTAGAACAGTAAAGGCAGATTGAAGCAACCTCTTCCCGAAAGAAGAGGGAACCTTGTGGGAATATGCTCTTGAGTGTTCACAAAAGCTATCATCTTAAAAAAGAACTCAAGAATGTGTTCGGCTGAGTGAACGCAGTGTAAACGGACAGGCATGTGAAGGGATCAAAAGAGGCAGTGAGCAGACAGATTAGCACTTGAGTCCAAAGATCACTGTGGAAAGCAGTGCTTGGTCATTCATGAAGTCTTTAAAGAGACTGGGTATCTGGAGCAGATCAAGGATTTGTGATGAGATGGAAAGGTCATGGACCCGTACAAGTTCTTTCAACTTAGGTTTCTTTCTTTGAAAAACGAGATAAAAATATATGCACTGTCCCAGCTCACAGGGTTGTGAGGATACACTCTGAAAACTGGGAAATGCCGTGCAAACATCACACCCCCTGTAACTGCAGCCTGCCTGATACGGTGTCAGGCAAGCGACCGCACTGCACACAGTGCTCAGCGGCTGCCTGAAGGCCCCTGGAGGCCGTGACGGGCGATCCTGGGGACCCGTATTTCTCTGCTCCTCCAGTAACACAGCACTGCGTGCCCTGGGAAAATCCACCTGAAGTCCAACGAATACTCACTGAGCACCTGCTGGTTTCCAGGGACTGTGCTGGGTTCTGGAATGCAAGGGAAATGGAAATGTCCACTGCTGAAAATCACTTGGCATCCTCATTTTCCATCTTCCTGCAAGCTTATATTTCCTTCTCTTTTTTTTTGTTTTGCATCCTTTTCCTTATTTGAGCCCCATAAACCCTAGACTTTGAAATGTGTCTCGTGAATTCTTCCTGTATATGGTGAATGAATGTATATCAAGTGAACTATTTGATGAATAATGATGGACCTCTTTTTGTGGGTTGATACCTTTATCACAGTCACCCACCTCTTCTGGGTCTTTCACAGGCTTACATGAGGGGAAGCCCTGATCTGAGTAGGAAGGGCTGGGCAGTCAAGCTGGTGGCCCTGCCCCATCTACCAGTCTGCCAAGCATTAGGCTACAGGAGGCCAAGGAAAGCTTTCTTTTGTGCCCCTAACTGGCTGTCTCACAGTAGATGCCTTTTCTAGTTGGTGACTATTTTTCTACCTCCAGGAGGCTACAGCCAGTAAATACAGAGGTTTATTTATTCATTTTTTATTTGTGTATTTTTTTAAGCCAGTCAAATTTAGCAGTGGGGGGGGGGGTCGTACACCAACTTTAGTGACACTAATGTTAATAAGTTCTGATAATCCACTGCCATCGGACCAGCCTGTGTATTTTTTTGAGACAGGGTTTGCTATGTAATTCAGGCTGGCCTTAAACTCATGGTGATCCTCCTGCCTCCAAAATGCCAGGATTACTGGCCTGAGCCACCGTGCCCCACTTAGGACCTTTTGAGAGCTTGCATGTCTACTTTTTTAAAATTGTCAAACCCAAGTAAGCAGAGAGATGAGGAAGGTATTATTCCCTACTTCAGACAGGAGAAACTTGACACAAACTGTCTAAATGTGTCAACCTAGTACTCTTTTTACAGGACCACTTGCTGCCAAGGGTATAAACTAACTGTGTAGTTAAAAGAGATCTGTGGAGCCGGGCATGGTGGTGTATTCCTGTAATCCTAGCACTTGGGAGGCTGAGACAGGAGAATCTTTCTAAGTTCGAGCCCAAGGACAGCCTGAAATGCATCCTAAGAAACTGTCACCTTCATCAAGCTTGCTTCCCTTGGTGCTCCCAAGGCTGCCAAGCTATGGTGATCAAACTCACAACCTCGTGCTTGCCAGGCAGGCACTTATGCCATTAAGCTAAATCCCTTAGCCCTTGAGATGGGATCTTTCTATGTAACCCAGGCTGGCCTTGATTGTGTGAGCTTCCTGCCTCTGCCCCCAAATGCTGGGATTTTAGGTGTTCTCTGCACACTTGGCCTTCTGGAGTGTTTTAAACCAAATTGTCCTGGCCCAGGGCCCCACCTTCTTCCTGGGCTTCTTCCCCGCAGCCTGTGCTCCTTGTGTCAGCATCTGGTGAGAACAGCTTTGTCAGACAGGCTGGAAGAGGGGCCTCCAAGGTGCCCTGCCAGTTCTTCTGTATGAGTCTTCCCATAAGATCAATAATCTTCCCGAAGCAGAAAGCTCAGTTACAGTCATTTCTAAAGTATTTCCTGCTTGATGCTTAAAGGTCACTCTCAGATAACGCAACAAGAATATAAAAATAACCAATTTTGTTTAAAATGCAAGATGCCTGTTGTATGTGTTAACTGGGCGAGCATGGGGCTTGGAGAGCACAGTCCTTGTCAGAGCTGATGTTGCTAGAGGCAGCGGATGAGAAATAGATGTAAGAATTGTGCATCTCTCCCTGTGCTCTGAAGTAGGAAATAGCAAAGTTTATCTAAGGTACAAGGGAAGATTTTAGGGGTGACGAAGGAGAAAAAAAACTGGCTCAGGGAAAGGTTTAGCAAACATCATGTATACAAAAGAAAGAGCTTGACAAAAACATGAATGTGGCCTTTATGTGCCCCAATAACTCTGTATACAAATAAATATACTGAGTCAGAAATGCGCAGTTTTGAAACGTTGCAGATTAATCAGGCCCAAGCTAGAACCTACCTGGACTGCTACGGCTTCTATAATTACAGCTGCTGTTGCACAAATCTTTCTGCAGTTCTATGCAAGTACCAAAGGACATTTCTTACTTTAGAAGAGAAAGAGAACTGGCCCTGAAGAAAACCTTGCAGGTGAGTAGGAAGCCATGTATTGTATTCAATACAATAAATTTGATTTTCCTAACTTGGAAATTTATGGGCAATGTGTGTGAGAACAAAATAGCCCAATGTTAAACTCACTGCTGGATAGAAGCGGACCACTGTTTCCTTGGAGAAACCTGATTTTGTGATATTTGAAGTTTTACAGTCCTTGAGTTGGAATGTTAAAAAGCAGTTCTTTGGATTTAGGTGGCAGAGGCGAAGCCCCTTGTTATTCAGGCCGATGTCCTGCAGAGGGAGCTAGAGAGCTGCCTGAGAAGAGAGTACACGCCTGAAAATTTACCTCTGCTTCTGCTGCAGGTAAGTAAGGGTCAGTCTGCAATTTAAAAAACACATCTGGAATTTAGTAAACATTAATAAATAAAGCTAGAATTCTAGCATAGTCTCTAGTCAGTGTAGGTTTTTAGAATACATGAGAAGTTTTAGAACCTGATCAGTGTAGACGCTGCTCTTTGTTAGAGACTTATACCATGACTTAGTCAATGAACAATTTAGTTTTATTAAATATTCCCTGTGCTGATATTATGGAACAATATAGTCAGCCTCAGACCTCAGAAAACAGTCAGCTAACGTAGGGAAGACGTTTTTGGATGTCTCTCTTAAAGTAACTCAAACACCAGGGGAAAAACCTTTCCATAAAGATTGTTATCATAGCATTACAATAAAAATGAAAAAATAGAATTGTCTGAAAATCTACTATAGAGAATTAATACACACAGTGTGGTACTTGGTAAGTATTGTCCTGTCGCTCAATATGTTTCAGCACGAGGAATTATTGTATTATATGATATTAGTTAATAAAAACTAAGGAGAGAGTGTAAAGGTTAAATAATAGAAGAATCACTTGATGGGCAAATTCCAAAATGTCAACAATTACTGCATTGGGATGGTAACATAATGAAATCTATATAAAAATTTATTTAATTATTTATCTATTTTACTGGGATTGAACCCAAGGCTTCACTAGGGAAACATTTCACCTCTAGCAGCCCTTGAAACTTTATCTTGAGACAGGGTCTCCCTAAATTTCACATGCTGGCCTTGAACTTTTGGTCCTCTGGCTTCAAACGCCTGAACAGCTGAGTGCAAGCGTGCACAACCACCTGGCTGCCCCACCCACACCTGTCTATAAGAAGCATGGATAATTGCAATTTTTAAAATTCTGTGCATACAGATAAATTATTTATCAAATAGCAGATAAACATTAAAATAACCACAAAGACACACAAGACATTGAGATACAATTTGCAAGTCCAACTGTTCTCCTTATCTTCATTCAGGGTTCTCTTTCTCTATCGCTTTTTGCATTTTTCATTTCTTTGTGAACATCAGTGATTTTCCATTAAAGGGCTGGGGATTTAGCTCAGTGGCATAAGTGCCTGCCTGGCAAGCACCAGGTCATGAGTTCGACCCCCAGTACCGCAAAAAAAAAAAAAAAAAAAAAAAAAAAAAAAAAAGGTAGAGATAATAGGCATTACATTCCCGCCAGACATTTGGGAATGTTTGGAGAAATGTTATCAAAGTTTGGACAGGGAGATATGATTTGTTACTGCTGACAATTAGTAGGTAGAGGCCAGGGGGCACTGCTAGACATTCTACAGTGTACCGGGCAGCCTCTCAGAAAAGAATTATCCGATCCCAAATGTCAGTGGTGCTGAGGTTGGGAAATGAGATCTCGTCTACATTTGCAAATGGTATTATTAGGCTTCTGTCGGGACAACTTCCTTTAGCATCTCTTTAGTGCAGTTCTGCCAAGGACAAGTCTCACAGCCTGCTGTTTTTCAAACAAAATTATTCTTGCACTTTTAAAAAGATGTTTTTGTTCAGTGTAGAATCCTGGGCTGTTTTACTTTGTGACTTTAAAGATGTTGCTTTGGGGCAGTGATCACAAACGTTTTAGAAGCTGACTGCCCAGCTGCAGCCCAGAACCCACTTAGGTATCACAAAGTGCCAGCACTGCAATCACACGTGAATACTGAGGTTCTAGTTTAGGAAAAAAATCTCAAACATTGATATCTTTTGTCTTAAAAGAAAAACATGGTAACAAAGCAGGCTGTGAGTTCTTACCACCCCTGCTGTGGGGTTTAGGGGTAAAACTCAGTAATAGATCACTTGCATAGCACACATGGAGCCAGACCAAAAAAAGAAAAGAAAAGAAAAAAAGGTTCTTGATCTGGTTTGCACAGCTTTCATTTCAAAACATAATGCAGAGCAGGGTGTGGTGGTGCACACCTGACATCCCAGCACGCAGGAGGCTGAGACAGGAGGATTGCCATGAGTTTGAGGCCAACCTGGGCTACAAAGTGAATTCAAGTTCAGCCTGAACTGCAGAGTGAGATCTCATCTCAAAAAACCTAATAAATAAATAAATAAAATTTTAAAATAAATAAATAAAAATAAACTTAATGCATCTTTTTGTTCTTTGTGTTAAGCTTTTCTCTTAGTGGCTTTGATTTATTTTATTATGATGTCTATTCTATGTGTTTCTCTTGCTTTGAATTGATTGAAGTTTTTTGTTTTCATGTTTTTTTAAAAATTTTTAAGCTATTATTTCTTCAAATATATTTTCTGCTTGCACCCCTTTTGTGATACTCGCATTATACATATGTTAAGCCACGTTGTGTTATTCCACAGATCACTAAGATCGCTTCGTTTTCTAGCCTTTTTCTCTCCTTGGTGTCTCATTTTGCATAATTTCATTGCTATGTGTTCAAGTTTACCAATTTTTCTTGTGCAGTGTCTGATATGCCTTTAATATCACTCGATTTCTTAAATCAGATAGCGCATCTTTATTGCTCTAATTCCACTTGATTCTTTTTAGTATCTTCATCTTATTATTTTCGTATTTTCCTTCCAATCCTCAAGCAAGCTGAAGGTATTTATAATAACCCTCTAGATGTTTTTATTTGCTAGTTTCTTTACCTCTGTCCTTTTTGGTCTTTTCCTTTTTACTACTTTTTCTTCTGCATTGTATTTCTCTGGTCTTTTGTTTGCCTAATAGTTTTTAATTAAATGCTGAACACTGTCCATTTTTCATCCTGAGTTTCAGCAGGGTTTTGCATTCTCTGGAGTCACACTTGTCTGGCGGGCTTTTGATGTTCACCTCAGCTTACTCCTCCCAAGACTTGCTTTTGAGCTCCGTGAGAGGAAGCTCGGAGTTATCCTGACTCAGGCCCAGCTGCTCCTTGTTACTGAGGCCCTGGGGTCTCTGCTGGCTGTCCGGGGACCTCCACACAGGTCCACCCTCTGGCCGTCTCCCAGCCCTGTGAGAGCTCTGAGACTATTTTACAACGCCCCGCTTAGATTCTCTACCCAGCCTCCTGCAGTTCCCCTTCCTGCATACCTAGCTCAGCGGTGTTCAGCCACACACTGGAAAGGAATCTCCATCGTAGGTCAGGAGTTCAGTCCCCCACCCCATCAGCCTGAGCTGACGCCACTTCCCGAACCTCAGTTTCTCCCCTTCTCTTAGAAGGATCCTCCACCCTGCTTCTGGTTCCCTTTCCTTCACCAGGGCTCACAAACTGCATGTGATGGTACGGCTTAGACCAAGGCTTCCCTTCTCCCAGGGACCACGGCCCTGCATTCAGTGTCAAAAAACAGTGGCCTTTATGCTTTGTCCATTTTTCGACTTGCTTGTAATGGAAGACCACGATGGAACCAGTCCTCGTCCTCCATCTCAGACAGTATTATTTTTATTATCAAAAGAAAAATGTTTGAAAGGGCTTTGCTGGTATTGTAGTTTTTTAATCCGTTTTTTGTTTGTTTGGCTGCGCTGGAGTCCTCCAGCCCTTTTTGTCTTAGTTTGAAACAGGTGCTCACTACGTCATCCAGGCTTTCCTCAGACTTGTGATCTTCCTGCTCCAGCTTCCTACGTAGCTGAGGTTACAGATGTGGGTCACCATGCGTAGCAAGAGACCTCGTTTCTTTTTTAAATTTTATTTACAGAAAGACTAAACAAAACAGAAAATAGGTAGAAATAATACATACATTCAGAGAAAAAACAAACAGTAAGAAATCACTACTTGATGTTTACATATTGTCATTTTACAAACAGTTGTTCAAGATACAAAAGTGGAACATGTAAAGTGGGAATTCAAACAGCGAGACTGCAAACAGTTCTGTTCAACTGACCAACAAAGACTTAGTAACATGGTTGTCAATCCTACACACTTAAACATACATGCAGTTATCCATATCTTCATTTATGTTGAGATTAAACAAACTAAAGCAGGTTAAAATCATTCTGAACAAAGAATAATAGTATTGCTGGATTTCACATCATGACACTCCGTGACCAGCACTGGGTACTGTAGTGTCTTTTTAAATTTAATTTAAAGAAAGACTAAACAAAACAAAATGAGTAGAAATAATATATAATTTCAAAGAAAAACTAAACAGTAGAAATCACTAGTTGATGATTACAGATTGTCCTCTTACAAATTCAGGATACTAAAGTGGAGCATATAAAGTGGGGATTCAAACAGTGAGATTGCAACCAGTTCTGTTCAACTATCCAACAAAAACTTAAAAATATGGTTATCAATCCTATGCACTTAAACATACAAGACTACTACATGCAGTTATCCATATCTTCATTTATGTTGAGATTAAACAAACCAAAGCAGGTTAAAATCATTCTGAACAATGAAAAATAGTATTGCTGGATTTCACATCATGATACTCCAGGATCAGCACTGGTACTCTAGTGTCTTTTTTTAAAAATTTAATTTAAAGAAATATTAAACAAAACAGAAAACAGGTAGAAATAATACATAATTTCAAAGAAAAAAATAAACAGTAAGAAATCACTAGTTGATGATTACAGATTGTCCTCTTACAAATAGCTATTCAAGATACTAAAGTGGAGCATATAAAGTGGGGATTCAAACAGTGAGATTGCAACCAGTTCTGTTCAACTATCCAACAAAAACTTAGAAATATGACTATCAATTCTACACACTTAAACATACATGCAGTTATCCATAACTTCAATTATGTTGAGATTGAACAAACCAAGCAGGCTAATATCACTCAGAACAAAGAATAATACTATTGCTGGGTGTCACATTATGACACTTCAGAATCAGCACTGGGTACTGTAAGTGTCTCTTTTTCTTCAAAGTATCTGTTCATTTCATCATGTGTCATAAGATCAGTTCTCATAAATTGTTTATAGATTCTACACATGCATGAGTTAAGAGAGACCTCATTTTTAAATGTAAATAAAATTCTGAGTTGATGTTAAAAGCTAGAATTTTGGGGCTGGGGATTTAGCTCAGCAGCATAAGCACCTGCCTTGCAAGCAGGCAGTCGTGAGTTCGATCTCCGGTACCGATAAAAAGTAAAAAGACCAAAAAAAAAAAAAAAAAAAAAAGCTAGAATTTTACCTGTAATGTACTTTGTGTTTTTGATGCATAATTTCAGTTTTTGATAGGAAATGTAAACTCAAGTCTAGATAATTTTTCAGGCCTTAATCTCACTGCTAAAACTGCTTAGCAACTAATAACTGAGCTACATCTACCAACATGGGAACAGACCTTAAAGATTTAGAAATATCTGCTTGGTTCATTTATGTTTGAATGATATTTTGAGTCAGATTTTTTAACTTTATGGTCTTCGTGTAGAAAAATGCATTTTTCCAAAGCAGCCAGATATTGATTTCCCTGTGGTTAGTATTCTGTTTTCTTACTATAATTGTATTCCGCTGAGTGCTTGTTTTTGTTTTTGGTAAAGTATTACACAGGGAGAATTGTCCAGCTGGCCCAGAGTAAATATTTGCACATGCTAAGGTGGAAGAGGTTTTGCCAGCACAGCACGACCATGGAGCAACTGTATCCCCTTTATAAGGTAGGAACCCCAGGAGCAGGACCTGTGGAATAGTTTTCACAACGAAACAAAGCAGTTAATAAACGTGTCCATTTTTAAAAGTTCAGCAGAAGATAAGAAAGGCTGGGCGTGATGGTGCACATCTATGGTGCACTCAGAAGGCTGAGGCATGAGGATCTCCTTGAGTTTTTGGCCAGCCCGAGCTACATAAGCAAGTTCAAGGCCAGCCTGAACCACATAGTGAGACCCTGTCTTAAAAAAATAAAAAGGACAAGAAAAGAACTAATTAACATTCCTTCTGGCCTGTTCTGCCAGTGGCAGATGATGATGGTTCCTATTTTTAAGAGTGAGACTTTAAGGACGTTTTATATGATAGTAGATACATTGTTAACACCTGTGAGCTCCTTTGTTATATATGGAAAGCTCAGAGGCTGACTGCAGTTACCTGCACCCTCATGCCAAAGTCCTAAGAGTACACATTGCCCTTGTCAATCAAATTCAGAATGTGAAAGGCTTTTGAGGTTCCAAAAGACCTTTTTTGATCCCCAAATGTTATCCTATGCTTGGAAGCCAAAATTACGAGAAGTGATCCACCAAGAGCGCCTTCTGTCTTTCTGCTTCTCGCAAACAGAAACAAGTTGCCTACATTATGCAAGAGTACAGGGATGCGGCTCAGCGAGCTGAAAGATTGTCTGTCGCCCGAGAAAACTTCCTGCTGGGAAAGCGCAATCCTGCTAACCTCGTGACGCAGGCTGATCTGACGATCTACACCAGGTGGCTGGTGTGTCACTTGCACTCCCTCGGGACTATTCACCTCTACCTGCAGGTAGGTGACAGTCACGTGATGGGGGTCCTCTCCCAGGAATGGCCGGCCAGTGGGTGTCATCACACAGCGTCACCTAGTTTGGGGTTGTATCTGTCCATCTGCCTTAGAAATGACAGGAGTCCCTGATTTTTTTTTTTTTTGAAACCTTGCTCTCCAGAAATTACCCTATTAATGTGGCTTTCTCAAAGACGTCTGTGATGTTCTATTTCATGTTCTCCCTGAATGTTCTTGTCTTTACCACCTTGTTCAAGGTTTTTCTGTCTAATTTAGTTATATTTTTTCATTCAGTAATATTTAAGGAGGGTCTAGTGTGTGCCAGGTGCTTGCTCTTGGACTAAAGAGAGGGTCTTGGTGGACAGGTCTCTAGATTCCATCCCGGGAAGAATATAGGCAACTAATTTTTCTACTGAAATACAGTGGGATATGAAAGAGTAGACTAAGCATAAATACAAGGGAAAGATTGTCACAGTGGAGAGGGCTCCACTCTGACCGCCGGCATCACGAAGAAATCTGATTGTCACATTTCCATTTTAGAAAGATTGGACAGGTCAGCAAGGAGTTTCTACTTCACCTGTTTCTCTAGCAAAGCGAAGGGCTGCTCCTGAATTTACGTTTGGAACCTTCTGTGAAAATGTGGTTGACGGGGCTGGGGATTTAGCTCAGCGGCATAAGCTCCTGCCTTGCAAGCAGGCGGTCGTGAGTTCGATCCCTGGTACCGATAAAAAGGAGAAAGACAAAAAAAAATAATAATAATAAATAAATAAATAAAATAAATGCGGTTGACATGTTGTGTGACGTGTTGTGGCTCTCTGTAGGCCCTCCAGTGTTTGCCCATCTCCAGAGTGCTGGATCTAGAAAGCAGCCGCGTCCCTGGGGCTAATCAGGAACAGGAAAAGGTCTGCGTTAGTGACATCAGCCCTGACACCCAAGATCCTGCCTCTCCTGGCTCTGTGGATTCCAGCATTTCAGGTGACAAATCAGTTTTCTTTCCCTTGGGGTATGTGGAGAAGAGATGTGTGATTTTGACCCAGGATCTTGCTAAAATTTTTAACATACTAAAAAGTGACATCTTTTTAATGACTTTTATATTCCAAAAATTTACATATTCTTTAATTTAATATTTGATGATAAGAAAACATGTCACCCCTTTTCTTACACATTTTTATCCCTATTTTTTCTAAGAAATGGAGAAAGAGAAAAAAATGGACTTGAATCCAGGAGTCTGTCGTGGCCTCATTTGACCCTGTATTATGTCACCTTGGGCCTCAGTTTAGTGATCCCCATAATAACCCTTTCAGGTTCAATAATTTCTAAAGTTCCTTCAGGTTTTAATATTATAGGATTCTAAAAGAATTCCCTCACCAGAATCAATGTAGTAACTTCTTCCCATCCTTGTGTTACAGATGACGAAGCAATTTGATCAGGTTTCTAATCTGAGCAGCATTCGTGCTCTGAGTGTATCCAGAGGGCCAGAGGGGGGCCTGACAGAGGCGGCCACTCCCCACCTAGAGACCCAGGGGTGCTTTCCAAAGGAAGGGAGTCCAAACTGGACCCTTAAGCTGAAGGAGTCAGCCAGGTGAAAGCTGTCTCCTTTAATTTGTTGGTTAATTTATAAGTGACGTGATTAATTTACCATGAAGTGCTTAGATGGGCCTGCTCCCATTAACTCACCCCATAAATGCCTGTGGGGTTTCCTTGAGAAGTCCTTGCTATCCCCTGAAGAAGCCTAACCCCGAGGACTCACCACATACACCTGACTGAACGTGGTATAAGTGATAAATTATGGCTAGCAAGGCTGGGTGAGGAGTAGCCCGGCCTGCCGTCATCAGAGGAGCCTCCTTCCGCCACCTCAAAGGTGCCTCGGCCTTCCCTCTGCCTGATGATATCTCCTGCTATTGATTCTGATCTTTTTCAGGCCCAGTGGGTGCAGATGCTACTTTCGTCCTGCCCCGACATGTAACAGAAGCAGGAGAACTGAAACCCCAGCTGAAGAGCTTACTTTCCCACTTCCAAATCCCATATGACGTGCGGGAGCTAAGGGACCCTGTGACGGAAATGGAGCTTTTTTCACTGGTATTTGATGCATTGTGTCTTAATACAAATATAGGTGTTCATGCAAGGAAATACTGCTGTTTGCTACAAAGTTTCATATATGGACAAAGGCCTTGACCAAGGCCTCTCCCAAAATTCATTATCTCATGAAGAAGGGAGCAGATCAAGGGTGGGTGACAGTGAGGATGGCGGGAATTATGTGAGCGAGGTGGGCTGAGCTCCCCAGATGGACAGCAGGCCCCTCTGCAGTACGCAGGGAGAAAGACACGCAGAAGGACCAGTCTGCACAACTCCACTGGGATGGTATGGAGTGAATTTAGGAGGCTGCTGCTTCAGTCTCTGATATGTAAACCTTGGTACCTGGGTAGCCATAAACTCTTATTTTGAGGCTCTTACCCAGCTGACATTCCTGCAGCTGTCTGGCTCTGCCGTCCCACTGTGTTCAACCATTTTACAGGAACACAATTCGAGGAAACAGGAAATTGTCCGCCAGCCTTAAAGATTACATATCGGTGACTTAGCCTTCCTTAATTCTACGCTTAGAGCCAGTTGAAGGGAGAAGGACTTAGCACAGCCAGCTCTGTCCACATCAGTACATGGAGACAGGGCCCGGTTTAAATAATGCAGAGGTAACAGTTCTGCATTCAAGGGGAGCCGTCCACTTGGTCTTCTAAGTCATGAGGTCTGCTCTGCTATAACAAGCTTTACTCCCTTAAAAAGAACTTATATTACTAACAGCTGCAAGAAAGCTTGTTTCAAAGGGAAAAATAGGACTGTAGATAGAGAGTATCAGATTGATGGTAACTTTTTTCCGCAAATGTTGCAATTATAGTGACCTTATTCTAGCTCTGACTGTATGTATTTGCTAGGTAAAAATAATACATGGATTTAAACAGGCAAAAATCAAATCTGGATGTTTTAAATGTTCTTACATAGGTAGCCACTTTCTCCAGCACTTGCCTGGCCTCCATGGGATGCCGCATTTAGCGTCAGGACTGAGGAAAAGGGTCCCCACTTTTTCTTCTAGCAGCATTTTCTGACCTCCAAGTTTCATTTGCATTTGTGTTTATTCCGCCATCACTGTACCAGGGTTATTAGCATTTACACAGATGCTGTGCTCTTGGGGGCCGATGCCGTCACACTCTCTGATTTCTTAGATGATGATGATTTTTACCTTTGTCTTTGTTTTCATGTCAGCAGTAGCAGGATCCTCACAGAGCACTTATTATCACCAAGTATGATGTTGGCAAAACCGAACTAGAATAAGATAGTGTTTAAAAAGAACCAAATTGCTGGGTGTGGTGGTGCGTGCCTGTGATCCCAGCACCGAGGAGGCTGAGGCAGGAGGGTTGCTGTGGGTTGGAGGGCAGGCTCACTCTGTAGCAAAGCGAGTTCCAGGCCAGCCTAAACTGCATAACGAAACCCTGTCTCAAAAAGACAAGAAACGAGAGAAAACTAAACAGAAAACAGAAAGGAGCCCAAACAACCTGGGTGTAATTGTGCTTGTTTATAATCCTAGTTACATGGGAGACTGGGGCAAGAGGATCATAAATTTTGAGACCCTGTCTCAAAATAAAATGAGAAATGCTGAGAACATAGTTCAGCGGTTGCCTGCCATGCACAGGCCTGGGATTGAAGTCTTATAAAACACACATACACACACATTAAAATAAGTAAAAATAAATTATAGCACAGTAGACTATCACCAATAATAAACAAAGGGACAGGGGACCAGCTGGACACTCCAACACAGCACCTTGTTCCCAAATACCAACTTGTATCCTTTATATGGTGATGCTTTTCCTGTTGTGATTTGTTTTTCTTTTAAGACAGAATCTCACTTTGTGGTGCAGGCTGACCTGGAGCCTCCTGAGTGCTATAGGGCATGTACCCCCAGGTCCAGGATGATTTTCTTATAACAACGTGATGTGAAATGTTAATTATGCTCCCAAGATCATCAATTACAACAATTTTTCGTAGGAGGAGTTCCTTTGTGTAGGTATTGTTTATTCTGTAGTCTCATGGCTTAGAGCAGGGTCAACAGTCTACAACTGTTTTTATTGCAATACGACTCTCTTACCCTCTCTGCTATGACCAAAAGACCATTAACTGGGTAGCTCATACACAGTAGAAATTTATCGTGATTGTTGCAGAGACAGAGAAGTCCAAGATCAGGGCAGATTCAGTGCCAGGAGAAGGCCTGCTTTCTGGCTTATAGTAGGTTAGTGTTTCAACAAATTTTGTGGAGATGCAGATCCTGCATAACAACAGCCTGTCTATTAACGTACTGTTGTCTGTGGCTACTTTCACATTATAATAACAGACCTGAGAAGTTGCAATAAATACTTTGTGGTCTGTAAAGTCTAAAATACTTGCTATCTGACCCTTTAAGAAAAATTTTGCAGCGCAGACCTGACGCAGCCTGTGTCTCACCGAACATCAGCAGGACAGATATGTTCCGTCTTTCAGAACGCAGGATGCTAACTAACCACCAGGCTCATGCAGCTTCTGGACACTTGAAACGCGGCTGGCTAGTGCAGGGAGGGACAGATGTTCAAGTTTATCTACTCTTAAGTCACAACCAAATGTTAAATAGTCACATCGGACTCAGGACAGCAGTCCTGGCATGGCGCATCTTCAGAAGTACCAGCGCTAACTGGAGAATCTTTAGTTCTGTAGCTCACAAACTTAACTGTTCGTTTTAGAAACCTTTAGTATGTGCCAGCACGATGGTAGCTGCTTTGTATGTGTGTGTGCACATGTGCCTGCACGTGTAGTAAAATACATAGAGCATAGCCTGCGTCACAGGAACCCTTTTAAGAGCGCAGTTCAGTGGAATTCAGCGCACTCGCACTGCTGTGTGGCCGTGGCCACGGAACAGGAAAATCACGGGCAGCAAGGCCACTGTCAGCAGTGTCGCTCGGAGCCAGCGCCCAGCCCCACTCCAGAGACGGGAAGAGGCACTTCGGCAGTAGGAAGTTGGTCATAGAAAGCATTTGTAGCTCTGATCTGGAATGGAGATGTGAGGGGAATAAAGCAGGTTACTGGTAGCACTTTACTACATCTGGATTCCAGCGTCGAGATTCTTTTTTCTAACAACATTCTAGTCTAGCTTTTGAGAGGAGATTTTTTTTAATCCTTAGATTTTCTATTTTGCCAGGTAGTCAGAAAAAGTGAATACAGAGGTGGACAACTTACTTCCTATTTATTTTGAGGATCCACCTCAAAATACATATAATAAAGATGTTAATAGATTTTCAGTCTTGGGAGCAGAGCCAGGTGCAGGTACAGCGATCGGCTGACTGAGGCGGGTGTTGTCACACAGTACATTCGTCTGTGTAAGGTGCTGTCCCAACACAGGGCCTGCCGTGTGGACGCATTTCATTCCACACACAATCAGTAGCTGGTTCTGGAATTTTCTAGAATGGATACTTTTCTGGATCCATGTTCTTCTTCTCAGTCTCGTTCTGTTTAGGTCTCCCAGCACTTCCAAAGCATCTTCGTGGAACAGCAGCAAATGCAAACATTCCTGGACTATGAAACTGGGGTCACTAAAGCAGAGAACTTGGGTTTGTCGGGACCTGCGGTGACCTTGAAAAAGCGAGCCAACTGGATTCCTTTTATGAAGGTCAGAGGCCCCATGGTGACACCTCTGTCAGTGGGTCAGCAGTGTCACACAGTTATCCTCTGGCCAGGGGGACTTGCAGCAGCAGGTCTGTTGGTCCCTGTGTCCTGTATGCTCACTGACCTCAACCAGGTGTCTGCTAGGACCAAAACGAAGTTCCTGCCTGTCCTCAGGGGAGACCAGGCCTCACCTCTGCCCTGTGTCCAAGCTGGCCATGCTGGTCCACCTTGTCTGGAGGTTCCACTCCGTTGGGCTCAAAGTCCCTTCTCATTGTGAATGATCTCAGATACTCAGCAAGAACCAAGAGTAATACCCAAAAGTGTAACTGACTTGTATAAACTCAACTTTTTAGTTAAAAGCTAATAATGGGTAGATTCCATGGCAGGCCCCATCACCGGTGCTGCACCATCACTGTACACAATTTATGAGCAACATATAAATAAGGAGATGAAATAAGATAGTTTTAGGTCATCCTGAGTGCAACCAGTTCTCACCCAAGGAAATCATGATCTAGAAAGTCACCACAGACACTGACTGAGCAGATAAGGAGTCATTAGTTTTAGGCAAAAAATAAGCTCAAGTTTCTGCCAGTCGTGTCACGATATTCACCAATGCATGCCCTTGTTAGTGTGTTTCTATGTAAAGACATTTAATTTAATGCACACTGTGGATTCACTAACACTGAAAACCCTATGGCCAGTATCACGTAATCCAAGTGTGAATGACGCTTACCTAAAAGATTTTCTCTAGAAGGCATGTCACCGCCTTGCTGTGCTTAGAAACACAGCACTTTAGAACTCTGCGTAGGGAACCTTTTCAATGATGGAATCACAAAATCTGTGAAAATGTGACTCTACATAGACCGCAAAAGGGATACTTGTTTCTTATCCTTTAAGCTAAGAAAGGAGAATATTGCTGGGTTAAGCCTGAGCTGGGAAGATGCCCACTGGGCCAGTCAACTTTCTCACCATTCTCATGTATGTCCATGAGTGACCCTGAAAGATCCGTCAGTATGGAGTTTTGGGTCCCAAATTAGTTTTAGTGAGTAGGTAAAATTGAAAACATGGATGTCACGAATGCTACGGATTGATTGTATTCTGAAAGGAAAGTCTTGCTTATTATTGTTCATTTGGGCTGCCAGATAAGTACCACAAGATGGGAACATTATCCACCACGGACCTCTATTCTTTTACTCTGGGGCTGAACGTCTTGATCGGAGAGTCAGCACGGCTGAGTTACAGTGAAAGCCCGCTGCCAAGTTGCAGACTGCTGACTCCTCCGCGTGCCCACACATGTTGGAAGAGACAAACAAGCTCCCTCAGGCCCTTTTATCAAGGCCCCTTGTGGTCACTCTTACAAGCTACTTACTTCAGGAAAGTCTCTTCACCTAGCGGCATGGCCTTGGAGGTTAAGTTTCAACATATGAATTTTAGAGAGACACAAATATCCCAGGCATGGTTCATTCTGCCCAGGGAGCTGAGAGAAATCAAATATCGCTCCTCAGTCTGGGACTTGAGAGCAGGATGGTTAGTGCAGGAGAAGTTGGGTTTTCTATTTTAGATCATTAGCTTGACATCAGATTTAGACATCAAGGAGGTAGATAGATGTAATAAGCCAGAGCTTAGGGTCGAGATAGAGCTTAGTACATTGATGATATTCTCAGCAACATAGCTCACTTTGAAACACAATTCATTAATGAGAAAGATGAGGTTTTCAATACGGATTCACAAGGATCCTGTGGATAGGCTCTTTCTCTCTGGCCTCATGACCAGAACTGATGGGTTTAGGGTCCCTCCCACCCACCGATCACACAGGCTGGTCCACAACAGGCCGCTGCATCTCATAGGCCATGTACCAACAAGAATGGGTATCTCCTCCAGTGAGTTTGCGATCCCTTGGAGACCCTTCCCAGGACCTCACATGGCCACAGCCAGCCCTCTGGCATCAAGGCCAGATCATACCTCAGCAAGTCCTTGAAACTTGTTGTTTGCAACTTTTATTGAGAAGCACTGTTATGTTGTAACTTTATGTGAACATGTTTGTCCCTTAGATCAAACCCAAATGTGATCCTTGGCAAAAGAAGATGTTGACCAAACTCAAAGAACAAAAAAGAATAGATGTATTAATGCAAATCCAAGCAAAGTTTTTGAAGGTAAAAAAAATAACTATGTTCTCTTGTAGATAAAATTTTTTGCTAAAAAATTGTCTTTAAAAAAACTAAAATAAAATAAAATTTTAAAAAAAGGACCTGGGATGTAGCTCAGCAGCACAGCACTGGCCTGGCAAGCACAAGGCCCTGAGTTCAATTTCCGATGGGGGCGGGGGGCGGGGAGAGAGTTTTTAAAAAAAATGTTGGCATAGAATCCCTATGAAGACTTTACTTTAAATTTTCTAATCTAATTGTCAGACATTAAATGTCCTGTGGCTTTTCAATTTAGACTCAAAGTTGTCAGAAGTGCCATTTTAACCAAGCTTTAGTACCAGGTCTTGGTGCAACACTGATCTAAGTCATGTAACCTCTTTGAGTGGCACTTTCCTTACCAATGAAATAAAAGGCCTGGACTAAATGATTTTTACTGTAGTTTTTAAACAACTGCAAAATTCACCATCTTAACTATTTTAAATATATAGTTTAGGAGTGTTAAGTATAGTCACATTGTTGTGAATCACACTTGCAGATCCCCACAACCTTTCATCTTGCAGGACTGAAACTGCGGTCTATATCCATTTAACAACTCACCCCCTCGACCCCACCTCCTGAAAACCACCGTTTTGCTGTTTCTATGAATTTGACTACTTTAACACACATACACACACACATATATACATATGTGTATATATATGGTAAAGTATTATTTATATATGATAAAGTTTATAAAATAATTATAACATAATTATATATGGTAAAGTATACATAATAATGAGATATAAATAATCATATATATATATGATCAGATATAAATATATATATATGGCTTATTTCATCCAGCATAATGTCCTTGAGCTTCAACCACATTAGCACACAGAATCCTTCCTTTTCCAGGTTGGATAACATCGCCTCTCAGGATAGATTATGTTCTATTTGTCCAATCATCTGCTGGCAAACTGTGTTATTCACACCTCATAGTGACTGTGAATAATGTTTCCATGAACATAAATGTGCAAATATCTCTTTGAAACCTTGCTTTCCTTTGAACATACACCCAGGAGAAAAATGGCTGGATCATACGTTAATTTTACTTTTAATTTTTTGAAGAAGTCACATGTCTGCACAGCAGTTATACCATTTTACAATCCACCAGAGGTACAGAAGGGTCCCGCTTTGCCATGTCGCTGCCAACACTTGATATTTAATGTTTCTGTTTCACAGTAGTCGTCTTGATGGGTAGGAGGTGATGTGTATTTATCCACTCATTGAGTTTTATTCATCTATTGGAATCTTTGTATTGTGTGGTTGTAGTCTTTTTAAATGCATTCTATTGACCACTTATTATATAATTAGACAAAGATCCTCCCATTCTATAGTGGTATTTTCTCTGCATTTATTATATAACTCCATTTATCAGCTTTTGCTTTTGTGGCCTGGGCTTTTGGTGTCATGGCCCAAAATCGTCACCAAGTCCAGTGTTTTCTTCTAAGTCCTACATTTTCTTCTAAGAGTTTTGTAGTTTAGGTGCTATGTTTAAAATCTTTAATTCACTCACTCAGTTTTTACCTGTAAGAGTAAAACACCATTTTACACATAGATAATCAGTTTCCCAAACACCATTTATTAAGATAGTGACCTTTCTTCATTGGGTGATGGTGACTTCCTTGACTGCATTTGCAAGGATTTATCTCCAAGCTCTGTCAATGGAGTAGAACAGAGCTTAGGGATAAATCCTTACAAATGCATAGTAGGACAAAGCTGAGGACTCAATTTTCCCAACTTCAAAAAGTCTTTATGCTACTACCACATTGTTTTGATTACTATGGCTTTGTAAAACTTATTGAACTTGGGAAAATTAAGTCTTCAGCTTTGTTCTTTTTTCCAAAATCATTTTGTATATCTAGGAGTTCCTTAAGATTTCATATGAATTTCAGTATAATTTTTTTTCTTTTGAGGCAAGGTCTCACTATATAGTTCAGGCTGCTTTGAACTTACTATGTAGCTCAGACTGGCCCTGAACTCATGGCAATCCTTCTGCCTCAGCCTCCCAAGTGCTAGGATTACAGTCATGATGGGATTTCCACACCTGGCCAGATGAATTTTTCTGTTTGCTGGAAATGCCTCTGAGATGTAGATAGGGACTGGAGTAAATCCCTAACTTTGTGGTGTTCAAATTGTCTAATAATGTGTGTATTGCTAGAGTAGACATTCAAAACTAGGACCATTATAGTATTCCTTATTTATCTCCCATTACCTGCCTGGCGTCCTGCAGCAATCGAGGAGAAATATTTCTAGGATTCTTGTTGACAGGCACTGCTGTGTGTGGAAAAGCCAGGGTTCCCAGGGGGTGAGGAGCACGAGCCTGAATCCTTGCAAAGCTCGACCTCTCCCTGTACTAGCCTGCTCCCCACCTCCTCCATTTCCTGATGGCGTCCTAACGGTGACCGTTTGCACCCGAAGCTGATGAGTGTTTATTGTTTTTCACCGATGCCATGACTCTGGGGAGGTCCCATCTCATAATGTTTTATGGTTTTCATCAAATTTTGAATGAGCTGCTCCGTACATTTAACTTACAGTGCTGCATGGATGAATGCACTTGGATAATCATGATGCTTGACTTTAATTTTACTTTTTAGTTGAATAAAGTCCGATCTGGGGCTTCTTCCTTGTTCATGTGTTTGTGGCCAGTGTCTCACCGAGAAGAAGGGAATAATAGTTTTAATAACTGCTGCTCCTCTCTATTCGAAGATTTCTGACTCCAAGCGAGTAATGCAAGTGCTCCAGGATCATGCTTCGAAGACAGACACACGGAAGCCACATCATCCACCTTTCGTGGCTGCCCAAGGTTTGCATCATTGCACTTATGACAAAATCTGGGAGAACATTTATAGCAACATCAACCTCTACCAGGTGAGACATTAAGAAATAATCAATATGCCTTTCTACCAGGCAAGACGTTAAGAAAAAACAATCTGCCTTTCAACGTGACATCTGGGGGCAGCTTTTAGAAATGTACTTCAGAAAAAAAATAGGAGTTTACTTCAGTAGTTTTCCTGTGACTTTCTCATCCAAAGCTCTTCCACCAAATCAGGCTTGTCTTCATTAGAGGGGAGATTATGTGCTTAACAAAAGAAGCATGTGAAGAGGCAGAATAGGACACCTTGTTCCCGCTGGGACGGGGACTTAAAGGATCAGCACTAATACAGAGCTTCACATCCTGCTGCTAAACACACAGAGAGCTGGACAGGCGTTAAATACGGATAGTGTTTAGAGAGGCCACTCCAAGCAGAAGGCATGGCGCCTGGCCTGGAGGAAGCGCAGGCTTACACAAGCAGTGAAAAGAAGGTAGGTAGCACTTTGTGGGAGGGAAAGCAGGAATACTGATGAAGAAGGTGGTGCACGCCCGTCACCCCTGCACTCGGGAGGCTGAGGCAGGAGGACCGCTGTGAGTTCAAGGCCAGCCTCAACTACACAGTGAGACCCTGCCTCAAAAAAACCAGCAACAACAGCAAAAAGCAAGCTAAGGAAGCAGGGATATTGCAAGTGGTGAGTTCAAGTTCGGCTCAAGTGAGTAAAGATTCATGTGGGAATACAGTGGAGAGGAATTGTGCTTTATTTGGGAGGAGACAACATAGATGAATACCTATAAATGCCAGTCCAAAAAAAATGCATGCTTTATCCTGCAAGGGTGATAATATATTAAATATATATATATATTTAAGAAGATTTACATTTCACTCGGGTGTTAGATTAAAAGAGAGAGACTGAAGGCGCGGAAGGCCGTTAGCCAGCTGCTGCCAGGGTGGGCACGGAGCTCAGTGCTTCAAGAAGTTTCCACTCAGGGCTGCTGGAGAGTTACCTTTAGGACCGTAATGTGTGCTTTGGAAGTTGTAATCGCTATTATTTCTTCGTCACTGGGGAAGATTTCACTTCATTTGCTTATTTAAGATGGGAAGTCCTGCATATATTCCCAATCTGAGAGGAAGGAGAAGAGGGGAAGAAAGGAAAGCAGGAAACTAAGAAACAGACGGATGATGCTTGGAGGTGATGGGGGGGGGGATGAGGCGCAAGTGATTTGGAGGAAGATGGGAACGAAATCATTCGTCTTGGAGTGAATAAGTTCAGAATTTTCAGGTGCCGAAAGGTAGGATGCAAGTGATTGTGCCTGGTTCCCAGAGAGAGAGACAGAGAGACAGAGACAGAGAGACAGAGACAGAGAGACAGAGACAGACAGACAGAGAGACAGAGAGACAGACAGAGACAGAGAGACAGAGACAGAGAGACAGACAGACAGACAGAGAGACAGACAGAGACAGAGAGACAGAGACAGAGAGACAGACAGAGACAGAGACAGAGAGACAGAGAGACAGAGACAGAGACAGAAACAGAAACAGAGACAGAGACAGAGACAGAGACAGGCAGAGAAAATTCTTCTGGGCATTTTGAAGTGATTTATGGTAAACATACCATAAAGAGGCTTAGAATACCTGTGTATAAGGACTCCAGATTCCAGAGGAAGGACACAGGGGAGACTGTTACTAGACATGCAAAGTACTCTGCTATTTTTCTCAGTCACTGAGCAGGTGTTACCCGGAGGCTACCTTTGTGCCAGGCATTGGGCTGGCCCGGCCAATGAACACACCCAGTCCTTACCCCTTTTATACAACAGCTTTGTATAAGTAAGTAAATGAAGAAGTGAATCTGTGTACAAGTAAGTAAATGAAGAAGTGAATCTGTGTCTCTGTCTGGTGAGCACTGAGATGACGACCAGGGCGGAGGAGGAAGGGCTCGGAGAGGCGCCACTGACCTCTGACGGGGCCAGCCACAGTGGCTTGGTAGGGCTGTGGGTAGCCTAGGAGCTGCAATTCAATGAATGAGGTACGGCCGGCCAGGAAGGCATCCGAGGGCAGAGTTTTCCAGGCAGAGGAAATTTTGAGGTTATAAAACTCTGTCTACTCTCCGTCACATTTCCCTTAGTGACAATTTGTGGCCTCTTGAGGGGTGTCCATGACTGCATACTGCCCGAGGGCCCCATGGGAGTTTACTGCCATTCTGAATGCCCCCGCAGGTCAGATGAGACTGGGATTGAGTAACCCTGGGGTGGCTGGGAGGAGTTATGTGAATGTGCATGTGGGTCGTACAGCTGTGTTTTGCAAGCAGGTAGCAGTCAAGTTCAAAATGTAGCATCTGTCTGCCAGTCAGCATTCTGATTCTGATTCCGAGGTTGGCAAGTGTCAGCGCTGTCCCCTGACAAATAACTTTTTAAGGGCCTGCTGGGTAAAGGGAAATTAGTCTTATAGGGCTGCCCGTTTTGACACCTGTGAGAGAGTGCCATCAGTCCCTAAGGGTTCCCCCACATCAGAACAGCGTCCGGTTGGTTCTCAGTGAACGCTGCTCACCAGGAACCTTTATTAGGGTTTTTGTCTTTCAATAAAAATTTCATTTCTTTGTAGTTTGATATGTACAGAAAAATTGCAGTGTGGTACAAAGGGTGCCCATATACTGATCACTCAGTCTCTCCTGTTATTAACGTCTTATATTACTGTGGCATTTGTCATGCCAGAGGATGCGACACTGGTGTGTTATTGTGAGCGAAACCCAGCTGTTTTTGGATTTCACCCCAGCGTTCTCTTTCTGCCCCAGGATGCCAGTCGAGCGCCGTATTTTCATTCAATGAACCATCGCCCCAGGCTCCTCTGGTCTGCCATAGTTTCCCATTTTTCCTTGTTTCTTATGACCTTGAAGTCTTGAGGAGTCTGGCCCAGTGACTTGTAGAAAGATCCTTAATTTCAGTTTGTCTGTGTCTGCTCATAGTTATGCTGAGGTTGTCAGTTTAAACAAAGAAAAAGCCACAGAGGCGAACCACTTGCTCATTCCGTCAGGTTAGGGTGACATGGTGTGAACACGACATTGCCGGTCATGTTAATTTTGTTCATTTGGTTAGTTGAGTGATGTCACCAAGTTTCTCCAGCCTGGTTATCATTTTTTTCTCCTTGAGGAGTTCTTTCAAATTTATAGCAGTAATAAATTCTACTCTGAGAGTTACAGAAAAATTTCAAAGATAGAAGAGTTCCTGCATACCCCTCACCGTTGTTAAAAAAATGCATACGTACCAAAAAGTTAAATTCCTCTGTGACTATCTTATGGCAATAGGACCTTCAGATTATATAGGGGAAGAAAATGTAACTCTCAACCTGCTAGATGTGCAATAAACTGAGTTTGTGATCGCCAAAATCAAAGAATGAATTCTAAGGAACAGCAAAGGTTAAGAGTAAGACATTTTATGGAGGGAGAGACAGTTTCTAAGTGAGATGGAGGATCTGAGCTCGGACCCCACTTTCTGGAGGAAATTTTATAGAGCAAAATCACAAGGTAGGAACAGAATCATGAGGTGGGTACAAGATGGGACCAAAACTGTGATCAACCAATAAGGTTCCAAGTATAGCTGCTTAGGTAATATCGGTCCAATGGGGAAACAGGCCATGTAGCTAGTGTACATGGACAGACCAAAGAACTCTTCGGGAAGGGATGGGTCTGGGCGTGTTGGTTCACACTGAGGTAACTGCTGTCTAGGTCTCAGTACCGATCTTATCCCTTGGCGAGACACGCAGGCCTGGCCATTCTGTCTTTAAGTCTGGCCTCCAAAAAATGCACCTCTGGCTGAAGTGTTTTCATCCTCTGCACTGATTCTTTGGAAAGCCTAACCCTGTCTAACTGCTTATAATATGTTTACCTCAGTCAGCTGTGTAGAATAATATTGCTCCCCACTGTGTCTCCTCAGAGGTAAGTGCTGTCATTGCTTGCAGATATTTCAATAACTTATATGCATACATTTGTGTATATGTATTAGTCAGAAATAGTGGTACACGCCCCTAATCCCAGGTGGGAGACGAGGAGAGGTAGGAATAACTTCGGGGGTCTGTAACTCCCAGCCTGTTAGATGTGAAATGTGCTGAGTTTGTGGTCTCACAACATTGAGGAATGAGACCATGGACCAAAGAAGGAAGCTAGAAGAGGTTTATTGGAAACAAAGGGAAGAGAAATAGCTCCTGAATTTCCAAGAGGGCTCCTGAATGACTGGCCACCTCAGCTCTCGGTCAGGGTGATCTTTACAGCAAAATCCCTATGTGAGGACAGTTGACCTATAGAATTACAAGTACAGCCGCTTTGCTGATATTGATCCAGTAGGGAAGTGAGCCCTGTAGTGAGAGTGCACGAAAGAACAAAGGTATCTGGAGGACGGAGGGGAGTGTGGGTTTAGGGGCTCCCCACCTGCCTGTGCACCTGATGAGGATCTAGGCTCACTGGACCAAGTGGCGCTGACCGCGGTGCAATCTCAAGCTGCATTTATCTCGCCAGCCAGGCTATTGCGCCTGCATCCGAGGCCTGGCTCTCTTTGGATTTGCCTCCAGCCACAATTCAGATGTCTCTGTTTTCTGCGCTGACTTCCTTGAGGGCCCAATCCCTCTCTCACAGTCATTAGTTTCTATCTAATTTAGCTGCCTGGAATACGAGGATCACAAGTTCAAGTTCTGCCTGGACAACTCAGGGATTTAGCTAGACACTGTCTCAAAATAAAAAAGGCCGAGAAGTAGCTCAGTGTGAAGGCCCTGGGGTCAGTTGCTAGTACTGGGGCTGGGGCTGAGATATTTGTATTATATTATATTAGTATATGTTACCTACATACAATAAATTTGTGGTTTAGCTTTCTGTGTAAATGATATGCCACATTATGTGGATATCCTGCGGTGGATTTCATGCAGCAGTGTGTCATGAAAATCTGCCCTGTTGTTGTTTTTAATGTCTGTGTGCTATTTTATTGTGTCACAGATTACACTGTGACCCTATGGCAAGTAGTTGCCAAGTTTTCTCCTGCTTGAAGTCATGTCTGCTGAGCTGTGTTGCTCTGCAGTAGGTATTTGGAAGTAGACTTTCTGGGTCACAGAATACACAAATGTATTTCCATGGCTCCCGCCAAGGTGGTTATGCCATTCCCCCCAACACACACTTGTGAGTTTATTCACATGCATTTTAACACTGTATGTACCTGTCTCAACACTGATAGTGTTTGTGGTATTGCTATCACATTTTGAGTGAGGCTTTTATTTACCATTAGCATTGAAGGGTAAACCTTCTCTAACACAATTCTAATTTCAGGTTTATTTAAAGATCTGGGATTGGCCCAATCCAAAATGGGCATCTGATATTAATACACACTTCTCAGATGAAGAAATACAAATGGCAAATAAATATATGAAAAATGTTCAACATCACTGGTCATTCGAGAGATGCAAATTAAAACAACACCAGAAAGAATGGCTATTACCAAGGAATCAACCAATAACAAATGCTGGAGAGGCTGTGGGGAAAAAGGAACTCTCCTGCACTGTTGGTGGGAGGGTAGACTGCTGCGGCCATTGTGGGGGTCAGTCTGGAGATTTCTCAAAAAGCTGGGATTGGAAGTCCCATTTGACCCAGCTATTCCACTTCTAGGCATATTCCCAGAAAAACTGAAAGCATCATACCACAGTGATATATGTGCACCCATGTTTATAGCAGCACAATGTGTAATAGCCAGATCTTGGAAACAGCTCAAATGCCCATCAACTGAGGAATGAATAAAAGATGTGGTCTTTTTATACAACAAAGTACCACTCAGCCATAAAGAAGGATAAACTGGAGACTTTTATAGGTCATTGGATGCAACTTGAGACTATACTCATAAGTGAAATAAACCAAACTCACATGTGAAACATCATATCGTCTACCTAGTGTGAGGAGCTGAAAGAGTAAATAAGATCCAAGATGTATAACAGATATTGTAACATAGGAAGAAACTGTTTACAAGGAAAGAAAAATCGGGGAGGGGGAAAGGAGAAGAAGGAAGGGAAAAGAAAAAACTCTATATAGACACAACATAGTTAAGAGAGTTGTATTACTAGTTTCTCTTACATAATTGAAAAGAAAGATTTGTGCTGGCATTGTTTGGACAATTAAATGCCTATTTCTTTACTCTGAGTAATTTAAAGATAACAGTATGCAATGTATGAACCATTGTTAATGATAATATTCAACTAGACAGAAATAGTTCTGGTCAAAATGGACTTTAAATTTTTTATATTCTCTTAAAAATTTTAAAAAAATATTTAACTGTTGTTAAATAGGAATAGACAGCATCCTCTGTGGATTGTGTTGGCTCAAGCCAGTTGTGTCCAAAGCTTTCCCCCAGAAAGTACCTGTTTGTTCAGATAACTGCGTGAGGAAGTAACATACCATCGACACTTGAATTTTTTTTTATTTAAAGAGAAAAAAGAAAGGACATAAAAAAACAAAGCAGTAAAAGGGTACAAGTAATACAGAATTTCAAGAAAAAAATATACAGTAAGAAATTACCAGTTAATAGGTTACATATTGTCTTCCTAGAAACAGTTGTCCAAATTATAAAATTAAAGCATATAAAGTGGACATTCATACAGTGATATTGGAGACAGTTCCGTTCAGTGATCAACAAAAGCTCAGTAATATGGTTTTCCATCCTACACACTCAAACATACCTGCGGTTATATCCCTTAGTCCACCTTCCTTTCCTCTCTTTTTTACAATAACAATTATACTTTTTGGGTTTTATTACTCCCACAGTTCTTATTACTTTTTTTGAAGAGAATAAAACCAAACGTGACTAAGCAAAACAGAGTCAGAACAGAAGGGTGGGCATAGTACATGATGCAAAAATAGAATACCAGGTGATCAAAAGTGGTTACCATTGTGTCTCTTGCTATTTTTAAATTGAGTTACCTATATCATCAGGTATAATAGAATTGATCAAAACAGTACAGAACAAAACCAATAAAACCTACACTGAGGACTTTATAGGGCTTCAAAAAAGGATAATAGTCAAACCATAATGGGCATCATAGTATATCTTATTGCCTTCAAAGTGGCTGCCTATAGCCTCAAACTTGATACTATCAAACAAAATAGAATATAGAATAATCAGACAGAACAAGATGGGGAGAGCAATACTGGGGTTCAAATCAGGTTAACAGGAAAACAAAAAAGTTACTATAATATATCCCTCTATTTTTAATTTAGTTTTCCCTTAATTAAAAAAATGAGAAAAAATAGATTAATTAAAAAAGGGGGGGGGACATTGAGATAAAAGAGGACATTGTAACAGAACAACACAGGTCAGAACCAAACAATTCAAGCGTCATTGTGTTTCGTCACCAGATAATCTAACATAATAGTAGTCGCCATAGTGCCTCTTTCCTTGAATTATTTGACACACTTGTATTTTTAAATATATGGATTAAATTGGTCACAGCTCTTTAACCTCAGAGACTGGTGGAATGGCAGAAAGCATCACACGGGGCTGCACTGTGGGGAGCCGGGGTGAGAGGCCTCTTCCTGTGCCTCACCCGCTGGCCACTTGTCCCCGTCTGTTTCCAGAGATAATGCTAGCACCAGGCCCGCTCTCACGTAGCACCAATATGCAAGAAGTTCTGGGAAACATGAAATGCCTGTCTCTAGGTTCCCCTCATCAAATGCAACAGAATGTTTATTTTTAAAAACAAGTATTTTCGGGCTGGGGACTTAGCTCAGCGGCATAAGCGCCTGCCTTGCAAGCGTGCAGACGTGAGTTCGATCCCTGGTACCGGCTGAAAAAGAAAACAAGTATTTTCTAATGACAATCACGACACGTATCACAGAAAATTTGGAAGCAGAAAAGTACAAGGAAGAAACTAAAAGGCCAAGCATTCCTGGTACCACCTAAAATAACACTGTGGTTCATTTGGGGCCTATCACGCTGGTCTTTCCCTCTCCCTATGGATAAACACACAAAAATTGTAGAGATGCTGTGGGAAAGGAGAAAATAACAGAATACATTTACTTTTGCTGTAATTGTTCCTCCCATCCTTTGTCTCTGCCAGCTTCCCAGTAGGAAATGAGGTTTCCCAGCAGAAAATCAGTGGAAATCTCAGAACTTGATTTATGGTCATGCAGGCTAAAGCCCAGCCACACGCAGGGTGAAGATCAAACAACTTACCTGCCCGGGGCGGAGAATGGGCACAGAAGTATTGCATTCTGGATTCGGGCAGCCTTTCTGCTTCCCTGCGTGACCTTCCTTGCCTAAGGCTTGTGGTATTTCTGAAGCAGTTGCCTTGCGTGGGCTGCGGTCGGCTCTGTGACCCGGAGCCTGTGGGGCATCTCTTGCTCCTCATCTCCGTCTTCCTCTGCCCCCTTCCTTTCTTCCTGGCAAGCTGCTAGACCAGGAGCACTTTGTGGTTTGCACAGTCCTGCAAATGCTTTTCACTGTAACTTGATGTCACTTTCTGTTCCTTCCTATGCAATTCTCGGTAATTTTAGATGCAGCTGAAAATGTCAAATCCTGTCAGAAAAAGGATGTGGCTCCGAGCCTTCCTTCTGAGAGCTCGGTGGGCAGGGCTGAGCTCAGCCCACGAACACTACAGACTCCGGAGGCAAAGGGCTGCGGGTGACGCCTCCTGCCCAGAATTGCACACATTCAGCCCTTTTATAGCGCGTACATTTTCCGGCAGATTTTTAAGATGATGTTTTTTATTTTGGGAAGATGATTTTGTGTCACTGGAACAGAAGTGCACTGTGTCACCTCCCAAAGTCCGTGGCGTCCAGGGCTGCAGCAGGCGCACAGATGTGTGCTGATGTGCTCACTGCACTGCAGTGCTGCTCCCAGGCAGGACGAGGCACCGCTCTGTGACCACCAGTGTCCTCGCCCACCTAGCCTTCCTCGTGTCCCTGTCAAATGCTTCCTCTCCCAATGCCTGTCATGAAGCCTGCTACTCGGTCTTAGAGTCCTGAGGACCGTGTTAGCTAAGATAAGATTTGGCTGTTGGTTGTGCTAAAACAAAGTGACAGGGTGAAAGGCGGTGGAAAGGTCTCTTCCTCCCCTTCAGATCAGCATCCAGAAGGAGATGAACTGACCTGGAGTGGCAGCTTCGTGCCACAGAGTCAGCTCAGCTCTGTCTGGCTTGGAAGTCAAACAAACGTGACCCCCAACTCAAGACTGATGCCTACTCTGAGCTGGAGGGCCAGCTGTCACAGCTGGGCTGTGGTTTGAGCAGCAGGGCGGAGAATGGAGGTGGAGGGGCAGCCTTTGGGGATATTCCCGGAAGCCACAGCAAAGTACTGTCACCTCTCTTTCATTAGTCACATGGCTACATCACTCAGTCACTCAGCTACAGCAGAGGAGGTGGAGAAACACTGTCTTTATCCAAATGTCCAAGTGCCAAGATAATATCCCATTTAATTTTTGTAGGGAAAGAGAGCTTTTAGGCATAGTCAGCAATTTCTGCTGCAAGAGTCCTTTGCAACTCTAGAAACCAACTACTAGAACACAAGTAACCCGACAGGAGGTTTTCAGCCTCTGCTGTTGGCACCCAGGCTTTTGTGGGGACCAGAGTGCACCTCATGAGAATGGGGAGTGTGTCCAGAGACAGGCTGAGGGCAACCAAGTGGCTGCTGGGGCCGTGGGCAGGCCACAGGCAATGGCTCCTTCTTTGGGGTTTCTTCTGGGGCCCCAGGGGCTTCACCACATTCTTCTGTGCATCAGGAAAGATGAGGCTATCAGATAAGCATAAACCGCAGGAGATTCCACAGAGCTGACCAACTACTGCAACTCAAGAGGAGAGGAACCCGACCAGGTTCCAGGCGCTAAGCTAGAGCTATGCCTTCCACCATTCGGTCCGCGTAGCAACTTTCTATGATTTCCCTGGTCGCACCATTTGACAAGGGTGAAACACTGGCCTGAGACCTTAAATGAAGCATCATGTAGTTAACTAGAAAGAGGATTTAAATCCTCTGATCTCTCTTGGCGTAGAGCAGGCCTAGATGAGAGCAGTTTGAGTTTCCAACTATACACACTTGAAAATTACACGAGATTGACTTTCTGTAAAGTGAATTGTATAAAAGGGCGGAAAATGGGGCAGCTGTTATTTAAAAGCCATGAGTATTTTCTGAAAACAAAAACTTGAAGCACGGCGTGGTGGCACACACCCGTGTCACTGGCAGGCCAAGGAGTACAAGTTTAAGTCTAGCCTATGCAATTTAGCAATTTAGTCTCAAAATGCAAAAAAAGAAATTTTTTTAAAGGGCCCAGGATGTAGGTTGGTGTGAGGGCTCTGGGCTGAGTACTGCAAAAAACAAACACAAACCTGCCGGGTAAAAACACCGATTTACTGTTGAGGCCTATCGTGTTTGTGTGTTGGGTTGACACGCATCAAGATGTTCTATTCATGCGTCTAAATGTGCGCTGGCTCATGATGTTTAGTTTTATGACAACTTGACTATGATTTTGTTAATAATATTGCAAATATTTGTGGAACTGAACTAACATTAACTTTTTATAGGACGTGAAGTATGCTGATTTTTCAACAGAACGAGATGAAAAAGACCCAGCTGCAAGTCTCAGACAAGTCTCTGCGACCGACGGGCCAGTCAGACAGAGAAAAGACGCAGGGTACAAAATTATTTTATTGGGGACTCAAGGAAATGATTTAAAAACAGTTGGGAAAATTGAGTGATTGATGAAGCCATGTTAACTAAAAATATCTGACATTGGAGTGGAAAGGGGGCTGTTAAAACAGGTCAGACCACTCAACGGACTTCTCACCTTACAACTGTGTTTTTCACAGGACTGATTGCTAAGAGAAATTTCTAATTTTATGCATGTTGAGTAGATAATTTCCCTCCAGTGCATTTTGTTTAATTTAATTTAATTTAATTTTTTGAAGCACGGTATTGCTCTGTAATTTAAACTGGACTTGAACTCACTCTGCAGTGCAGGATGGTCTCAAATTCCCAGCAATCCTCCTGCCTCAGCCTCCCAAATACTGAGATTACAGGCGTGCGACACCACGCCCGGCTTCTTCTCTCCAGTGCATTTTAAGGAGCAGCTATTGTGAAATTTCCTTAAGTTAAATAGCTGAACTTGAATCTGATGTGACTTTTCTGAACTACCTCGAAGTGAAAGATGTGTATTGTATTTCTGCTTGCTAAAGGTACAGCTTCAAAGTGGCGCTACAGCGCCTGGGCTTGGACGGGACCGACGAGGATAGCCCGGCCTTGCTGAGAGGGGCCCACCTGTCCTTCCTGTGTCTGCGCCACCTGCGGATCCGGGAGCTCCAGGTCTGTGGATACCCAGGACGCAGCATGTGGGGTCACCCGGAGAGGGGCGTTCCGGTTTCTCCAGAGCGACACGTTTTTATGTTTTCTCTCTGCTCTGACTTGGCGGTGGAAATCAGCCGTTTCTGGGAGGCTGTGTTCCCTTCTCCGCTGCTGGGTCTGCCTCCCTCCCACCTTGAGTCCCCAGGAGCGTGACCTGGGGTGGAGCAGAGTGGAGGGCACAGCCCCCATTGGGCTGTTTCTTCTTCTCAGCGCATCTGCTTAGGAATTCTCAACTACTTCAGATCTGTTGAGCGAACTCTGACCATCAGTACTTCAGGCCTTACCCTGGTTTCTGGGACACTGGTTCCCACCGCGGAGGACAGCTCTTGGGTAAACATCGCAGGAGGAGGCTTGGGCACCTCGCAAGGACTCGGAGCTCACCGCTATGTCCACGGGACGCCTGCTGAGCACAAGGTGAGCCCTTCCCTGTGCTGTTGCTTACTTGCTTATTTTGTTTGCAAACACCTTTTTTGTAGCACTTGGAATCACTTAATGTGATAGAGTAACCGGTGGGGAATTTATTGGGGAAACGGCTTATACAAAACTAGTAAAAGGAATAAATGACTTTCTAACCACAGTAAGACAGAGTGTCCACCCAAGAGCAGGACACCAAAAGGAGCTCTGGAGATTACCACAGGCAGGAAAGCTTTCAGCTGCTGGATTGTTGATTTTATAGTGAGCAAAGCTACCAGGAAGGGCCCTTTCTGTTACACCCTGCTGGCCCGGGACCCGTACAGAGACGGTTTTATAAGATGCTCATTGACATTGCTAGAGGTACTATTTAACCCTTTTTTGTTTTCTAAGCTCTAAGTGGGAAGGGAAGAGAAAAAGAGCAGACTAAAAACAAAGGTAGAAAAAATTAGAAAAACTTGAACGGGGGGCAGTGTGGTAGCATGTAATCCCAGCATTTGGGAAACTGAGGCAGGAGAATCCAGGGAGTGTGAGGGCAGGGCTATATAGTCAGTCCAAAGCCATGCACAGGGAGACCCTGTCTCAAATTACAAACAAGCAGAATTGAAAACAATTAGAAAGTCTTTTTCACTCTAAAAATCTATTTGCCTGGTAAATTTGATGTCTCTTGATTGTACTTTTCTATAGTATCTAAAATTTCAGCCCTGCCTAACGAAAGACTAGTAAGACAAAATCTATATTAAATCTCTTTCTTTGGAGTAAATTTGAGGATGCCTACATTTTAGTGGACTGTCGTAAATGCTCCTGCAGGATTTCATCTCAATCTGTAGAAAATTTATTCCTCAAGACAGAGTTTAACATGAACATAATCTTCTTAAAAGACACCAGCCTGACAAATATGGAAACAAAACCTATTCAGTTACCAACTGAGTCACACTGTGTGCCCGTCCCGTGGGGTGCCAGCTCTTACCAGTAACTGCTGCCCATACGCACACAGCCTCGAGCAGTTCGATACCAGCCACACATGTTGTTTAAAATGTTCTAGTGGCTGCATTTTAAGAGGGTGTCTTAGTTACTTTTTACTCATTGCTGAGACAAAATACCTGAAGCCCAAGTTGGGAAAGGAAAGGTTTATTTCTTACAGTTTTTGGAGGTTTCAGTCCACACTCAGTTGGCTCCAAGGCAGGCGGGCATGGCTGGGTCGCAGTTCATGGTGGCTGCAAACAGCAAACAGGAACCAGCAAAGAGCAAGACACACCTTCTTCCTGCCATTACATCACATCCTGGCTCCACCCCTTTGTGGGTGGAGCGTTGACACCATCAATCCAAGCACTAGACAATGAACCATCACAGATGCACAATGCAAACTCATGAGGCCTGGGGGGCCACAGACATAAACCATGACTGTGGTGAAGTCGATTTTAAGAATATAATCTGTTTAACTCAATGTATGTGAGATATTATTTCCACACATAATCAATATTAAGAAGGCATTGATAAGATGCATACTTTTTTTGGAGACAGGATCTCATCGCATAGCCCAGCTGGTCTTCAATTCACTACTTAACCGAGGCTGGCCTTGAACTCACAACCCTCCTGCTTTATCTCCCATGTGCCAAGATTACAGGCATAAGCCACCGCCCCAGCCCAGATGCACCCTTTCACACCAAGTCTGCAGTCTGTATGGATGGTGCATTTCAGCTCAGGGAAGCCACATGCTAAGCCTGCAATGGCCACGTAGGGCTATGAGCTGCTGGACAGTCCAGTTCAGTGTTGTTCGCCACTCAGCCGCACAGCTTTCTTCTCCGCCCTTCGTATCCTCCTGTCCTCTCTTGATCCTACTCCTGGGACCCAGTCGGTGCACCTCTCAGCAGGGCTGCAGAGGAGTTCAACACCCATGTAAAACAAATACAGCTTTCTTTTACTAAAATTGGTTCTACCACAGCTGTACCGTGTTATTATGCTAATCGAGCTTTTTAAAACTTTTTTTTTTAACCAGAAGGTCCTCTCCCGGTTTGTTTGTTCTGGAATGAGGATTGGGAGAAGGAAGAAATAAAGGAGGAAAGGATTGACCTTGACCGTCCTGCCACATTAACTGTAGGAAGAGCTTCTCACGGAAATGAAATATTTCTTTCCCTTAATCACAAACATCACAGGAATAGCATTATCTGTAAGAGCCACTAACTGCTATTATTTCAGGGTGAGGCTCGTGAGGCGGTAGCCTTCTGTCTTTGGTAAGATTGTGTGGCTTAGCTGCTGCCCTGGGGGTGGACTGGTCAGCACGCACACCGGCATGTCCAGTTCTCATGCAGGGGAGAGGCAAGCACAGACGCTAATCTGCTGCCCGGATCTCACAGGAGCTGGAGGCAGACAGCTGGGAAAGGACCCCTGAGCCCAGGTGGCCAGGATGTGAGGCCACGCAGGGTGCTGCTACCCCAGGCACTTTTGGGAACCGCGGCTGCAGGGAAGAGCAGGCCGGCCTGCGAACGGTTCTGTCTCCCAGGGTGGGAGGCCAGCTCCAAGGCCAGAGAGGAGCAGAAAGAAGTTGTAGAGGAGGCCGTGGCTCCGTCACAGCTTTGTGAGTTACTCCAGGATCTTTGCCCAGATGTAACCACAGTTATCCCTTGCTTGAAATCTTTCATGAATTTCCTGTTTTATAAGATACAGTCCAGGCTGCTTGTGACATTTACAAGGCCTGTTTCCCCTGTTGTTTCTAAGCTTCCTTCTTATGGCGTGGGGACGGGCGGAGCTGCTGACACCCCTGGGCCCTCTGCCACTCCCTTCTTCTCTCCTTGGTAAATCCCTGCTCTCATTCAGTCCGTGCAAATACCTCTCCTGGGGAGCCTTCCCTCTGAGCAAAGCCGAGCATGGCTGTGCTGACCGTGGGTTTATCTGTTCTCGGGGGCTGTGTGCTCACACCCACCCCACCCCCATTTACTCCCTCACACACTCAGTCCCCCGGTATTCCTGTGAGTATACCAGGAACTATTATAGGCCTTGGGAACACGGCAGTGCACAAAGTCAGCCTGTTCCTGCAGCTTTGGGAGCTCCCTGACGGAAAGGGGGAGACAGTAAGTAAGTGGCAAGTGTCACCTTTGGGGTGCTGTGCTACCAAAGCTTTCCCACACACCCTGGCCCTTGCCGTTGCATGGCCGGCTTTGGGTTTGCACGGTGAGCTGTGCGTGGAAATGTCAGTGTCTGTCTGCAACACCTGGGAGCGGGTCCATACTCCTGGTTCTCTTCTGCTTCAGGCAGTGGAAGGCACGTGAAGGGGGCAGATCACACGTGGCAACACCCTGGAACCCAGGTCCCTGCCGGGAGGTGGCACTGTAGAGAGCAACGGGTCCTGTAGAGGGCTCCGGATGAATGAGAAATTCATTTTTAGTGAATGAGCTAGTCTTTGTGGACTAATGAAGACAGTAAGAGTTACTGTGGAGAACAATGAAGTATAAAGGAAATAGAAAGTGCTAGAAATGGGTGATGGAACAGTGTAGTCATAAGTAGGGTAGGCGAGGAAGGCCTATGGAGAAAGTACTATTTGAGTAAAGATATGAAGGAAATCAGGAAGCAAACCACATGATTGGAGAAGAATGCAGACAGAGGAGAGAACCAGTGCAAAGGCCCTGAGGCAGGACTGTGGCAGGAACAGAAATGAATTCAGTGTGGCTGGAATGGCTGAAGGGAGGAGCAGTAAACAATGATGCTAGAGAAGGTTGTGTCTGACCTGTGAGAACTGTGAGGACTTTAACTTTGGCTGAGTGAAAGGGGAACCTTAGAAAGCTTTGTGCAGAGGAATGATATGATTTGACTTACATTTTAGCACGCTTGCTTATGTAGCGGAGACTCTATAAGAAATTGTTGCATTAATTGACCCAGATATGATGTGGCTAAGAACACTGCTTGGTACGGAATGGTCAGATTCTGAATGTTTAGTTGTAACCACTTTCTAGTCAACAATGACCAGCATATGCACAGCGGTGGCCCCATAAAATTATCATCATCAGCTGAAAAGTTCCCATCAGCTAGTGGCAGCATACCCATCGTGATGTCACACTGCCATTCATTACTTAGGTCTCTGTGGAGGTGCTTGTGTAAACAAACCTGTTGAGATACATTTAGATAAAAATTGCATATCACTGTGTTACAATTGTTACCATCTCCGTACAGTAACAGGGAAGGTTTGTTGCCTAGGAATGATTGACACCGTACATTTGTAGTAGCCAACACTGTCTAGGTTTGTGCAGGTACATTCTACAATGTTCACACAACAATAGAATCACCTAATGACACACAAGAATTGATTCTAAAACATGAGTCAGGCATGCTGGTGCACACTGCAATCCCAGTACTCACGAAGCTGAGGCAGGAAGATCCCTGCAAGTCTGAGGCCACCCTGGGCTACAAAGTGAGTTCAAGGCCAGTCTGAACTGCATCATGAGACCCTGCCTCAAAAAGGCAAACAAAACAAAACAAAACAAAATAATACCTGACTGTATTTTAAAGATATGACTAACCTATTTCTAGGCAGAGAAGTCAAGGCTGATACCAACATTTTGACTTGAGCATTTGGAATTTTAGAGTTGCCGTCTGGAGCTGTGGTTGGAGCAGGTTAGAAAATGTTGAAGATTCAGGGAGCAAAAGGAACTAGAGAACTAAATATGTGGCTTTCAGATAGCAGGTAATTTAAAAATGTTTATTTGACAAAAGAATGGCCACAAGGCATTAGTTGTGAGATTACAAAAAAAACATACATGAAAACTCCTCACAAAGTATATCGTAATATCCCAATGCAGAATGATTAGTTATAAATAATAATATTATACCCCCAGTCTAGGCAGGACAGTAAAGTAGAAGGCATTTTTGATCTTTATAAAAATTGTATTCAAATGATTAAATCATTCACCAACCATTTTGATTGGATTCTTAGGCTGAACTGTGATTGTAAGTTAATGCAAGATAATGTAGCAAGTAAACTCGTCAGATAAGTGCTGTTTATTATGTTG